CCTCTTACTGGCAGAAAATATACGAAAAAAAAAAAAAAACAATTTTTATTTCTCTCTCTTCTTTCTCCGCAATAATCTCCACCCGCCCGAAAAAAAAAAAAAAAAAAATATCATTGGCAGGGCGGGCGGTGTGGCTGTGCTCCGGCTGTCCTCCCCGGGCAGCCTCCCCCTTTGATAGGGTCCCAGTTTGTGCACCTAGCTGCTACTAAACCAATCCAGCTTTATTTATCGCTGGAAAAGGAATATGTATCTGCCATGTTCTTGCGCCCCTTCCGCCATAGCTAACCGCTTTTGCTCCTTCAGATAGCCCTCAGTTCCCACCATTGCGGCCATTTGGGGAGTGAACCAGTGGATGGAAGAACTCTGTCTCTACCACCTCTCTGTGATTTTTTGTTTTGTTTTGTTTTGTTTTTTGACAGGCAGAGTTAGACAGTGAGAGAGAGAGAGACAGAGAGAAAGGTCTTCTTTTTCCATTGGTTCACTCCCCAAATGGCCGCTATGGCCCACACACTGTGCTGATCTGAAGCCAGGAGCCAGGTGCTTCTCCCGGTCTCCCATGCGGGTGCAGGGCCCAAGCACTTGGGCCATCCTCCACTGCCTTCCCAGGCCACAGCAGAGAGCTGGACTGGAAGAGGAGCAACCAGGACAGAATCTGGCACCCCAACCGGGACTAGAACCCGGGGTGCTGGCGCTGCAAGCAGATGATTAGCCAAGTGAGCCGCAGCGCCGGCCTGTGACTGTCTTTCAAATCTTTAAAAAAAAAAATCACTATCATCAATGTCACCTTCAGAAAGCACAGCAAAATATCATAAAACCTGTGAGAGGACTGCATCCTGGTAGTCAATGGGGAGTCATGGTATGATCTATGCAGGATTCAGATACAATCAGATCCACATCCTAGAAAACAGACAGTATTTGAGGAGAGTAGGAGTTACCACTGAAATCAGGAAGCACTGAAAAGACAGCCACTGTTCACTAATATGAACTAAGGTGGTAGCAACTAGGATGAAGGAAAGTAAAAGGTACTGACATAAACTGGAAAGGAAAAATGTAATGAGAGATAAAGAAGATGCAGAAGCTGGAGCCAAGAATGATTTGTAGATTTGTGGCTTGGATTTCTTGGAAGATGACAGAAACATCAACTACAATAGAACTGTAAGAGAGACAGAGAAATGGTAGATACTCCTTCACTACATACAGGAAGCACCAACTATATCACATGCATTGTTCTAGGTACTGAGGCAACAATGTCTTAGACAAATCTACAACCTAGTGGGAATCAAAACTTACCTACCCAAAAGCAACTGCACATTTGAACCTGAGCTCAAATATAGCCAGGACAGTTATTTAAATTTTTACATTATTTAGGCAGTAGTTCTCAGCAACTTATACTAGGAGAGATTCCTGGTACTCCTGGTTAAAATTCATGGAACCCTGACATCATAAAGTTGTAGCAAGAAGACCTAGAATCTGCACACATTTCTAAAAACTTAAAGGACCAAGTTCCTCTCTTTATAATGAGATAACTGACCAAAACAGCTACACATTTATTATGCCACTGAACATTATTTCAATGCTGCCACCTTATGTTAGAACACAGGACTACACAATCTAAAAAAGATATCCTTATTCAATTACAAAATCTGAAAACACCAAAGATTTCAGAACTGATGAAAAGGTTAAAAAAAAAAGGTTAATGTGAGTCATTTAATGACTGTAATATAAATATTACTCATAGCAATTAATTTTGGTATCTGGAAATATTCCTGACTGAACAGAAGATCTCAGGAAGCAAGTAATTATAGTCTTAAAAGTCTTACTTTGAGAAAACAGGAAGCAAGTTGCTGAATTTCTCTAATCTAAAATGGTAAAAAAAAAAATATTAGCAGAGATAACAGGGGAAGGGAGAAGAAAATAAAATGCAGAGCTATCTCATTTCTTTTGTAAATTCAACTGCTTTTCCTAATCACAGCTGCTTAAACAGCAGTAACAGTTTATGTTTACAAAGGTAGCAAATTCACTGGTTTCAACTTTAATCCCACCACTGTAAGGATAGTTTAAAGGAAGAAAATAAAAGCCAAGATCCTAATAAAAATTAAAGACTTTGAATTTAGAGAGCTATTCATATGTAACTGAAATGTTGACATTTGTCAATAATATTAATTGTGATATTTAATTTTTCTGTGAAGTAAAATTATGTTATAAAAATTATAGTGGAGGGGTTGGCACCATGGCGCAGTAAGTTAATCCTCTGCCTGCAGTGTCAGCATCCCATATGGGCACCAGTTCTAGTCCTGGTTGCTCCTCTTCTCATCCAGCTCTCTGCTGTGGCCTAGGAAAGCAGTAGAATAGGGCCCAACTCCTTGAGCCCCTGTACCCGCGTGGGAGACTGGGAGGAAGCTCCTGGCTCCTTGCTTCGGATCGGCAAAGCTCCGGCCATTGTGGCCATTTGGAGAGTGAACCAATGGACGGAAGACCTTTCTGTCTCTCCCTCTCACTGTTTGTAACTCTACCTCTCAGATAAATAAATAAAAAATAAATTATACTGGAAAAATGCCCCTGAGTAGGGGCATTTAAGAAAATCTGAGTTATTGTTAACAAAAAAGGACTTTAACAATCATGTAAGAAAAAAGTTAATGTTTTGATAAAACAGATCAGGAACAAATACAAAGATAAAACACTCTGTTAAAACTACCATTCTATCATACTGTGCACCACCTCCATGGTGAGGGAGGCTGTGTGTGGTATGTGGGAACTCTGTATTTTCTACTTGGTTTTGCTGTGAACAAAAAATAAAGTCTATTAATTAAAAAAAAAAAAAAAAAAAAAAACTACCGCACATTTGCTAAGCATATATTGGTTTCTTCAAAAGTATGCCTCACAGCATTGTTCAGCACCAACTGTTTTTCAGGGAGAAATCAGATGAAAGTCTCTAAGCACACTTTCCTTCATTATTTTAAGAAGAGTTAGTCTTGATTCAACTAAATAAATAACTGAAAATCCTCATCAGTCTTTAGTACAGACAGTCAAGTTGTGAAATCACCTGCCAGTTTCTTCACTATCATTGCTGAATTACTTTCCTTTCTCAGAGCAAGAGGCAAAGACTAAAACAACTTCTGGTCTCTTTCTCTTTTTAAAAAACAGTTATTTATTTATTGGAAAGGCAGGGTTACAGAAAGGCAGAGAAAGAGGGAGGTCTTCATCCACTGGTCCACTCCTCTAATGGCTGCAATGGCTGGAGCTGTGCCTATTTAAAGCCAGGAACCTGGAGCTTCTTCCAGGTTTCCCAAGTGGGTATAGGTGCCCAAGCAGTTGGGCCATCTTCCACTTCTTTCCCAGGCATATTAGCAGGGAGGTGGATGGGAAGTGGAGCAGCCAGGACTCCAACCAATGCCCATATGGGATGCTGGCACTGTAGGCAGCAGCATTAACCGCTACACCACAGCACTGGTCCCACAACTTCTGGTTTTAAACAGTCAATAGACTTTCCTTCCTTTAACTTTCACAATCTTACATAAACATGCTTTTATAAAACACCTCTTCTATCTTGAGATTGTAAAAGTCACAGGTGCAATAACTTTGCCTTAGTTATCGACATATCCTAAAACATTGCCTGGCATACTAAAAATATTGAATGAATTTTCTTTTCAGTTTTACAAATGAAGGAGAAATAACCCAAAAGGTATAAACATTTTCCCCATCTTTCAATATAAACAAAATTAGTTTAATAGACGAACTCAAGGGCCGGCACCGCGGCTCACTAGGCTAATCCTCCACCTGCGGCACCAGCATCCCGGGTTCTAGTCCCAGTTGGGGCACCGGATTCTGTCCTGGTTGCTCCTCTTCCAGTCCAGCTCTCTGCTGTGGCCCGGGAAGGCAGTGGAAGATGGCCCAGGTCCTTGTGCCTTGCACCTGCATGGGAGACCAGGAGGAAGTACCTGGCTCCTGGCTTCGGATCGACACAGTGCGCTGGCCGCAACGCGCCGGCCGTGGTGGCCATTTGGGGGGTGAACCAATGGAAAAAGGAAGACCTTTCTCTCTGTCTCTCTCTCTCTGTCTAACTCTGCCTGTTAAAAAAAATAAAAAATAAAAAAAAGTCTTATCTTTGTGTGTTTAAATATTTAAAGGCAACTACTGCTACACACACACACACACACACACACACACACACAGTAGAAGCCAGTACAACAAAAGGCAAGATGAAATTTTAAAAAAGAAGAGTCAGGGATGAGAAAGACAGCCCTAGTGACATTATCTGAACCCCTGGATTCAGCCTTTCCTGAAGCTAGCTGCACCCCTTGTACTCCTCAGCTACTTGCAGCCGTAAGTCACCCTTGTGGCCAGAGTTGGACTGGATGGGATTTACCAGAGGCTTTCCAGAGCATCCTCATCTATACGGCCTTCAGGCTAACCACTCACGTTTTATCCTCACTTGCTGAATTAAATGCTCACACATTTCCACAATGTGTTAAAAATTAATTTTCAAGCCATTCAGAATATAAACAATAAAAAGAAATGAAAAATACATTCACTGCCTTGCCTGACCCCCCTCACTGCCTTGACATTTCAGCATCATGACTTTCCCCAGTCCTGTACAGATATGCCATTTTTCTACTTCAGTTCCCAGATCCTTACTAGGAAAAAAAAATACCAATTGCATGGGAGACCAGGAGGAAGCACCTGGTTCCTGGCTTCGGATCAACACAGCACCGGCTGTAGCAGCCATTTGGGGGGTGAACCAATGGAAAGGGAAGACGTTTCTCTCCATCCCTCTCTCTCTCTCACTGTCTAACTCTGCCTGTGGGGGAAAAAAAAAAAGATGAGCTCAAGATCACGAAAATTTGAAGAAAATATGTTCTACAGAGTACTTTTTTAAAAAAATATCTGAATAGTTACAGAGAAAATAGGGGTGAGTGAACTCTGAAAAAAAATCTAAAGACATGTTTTGACTAAAGAATTCATTCGGCTGGCGCCACGGCTCACTTGGATAATCCTCCGCCTGCGGTGCTGGTACTCTGGGTTCTAGTCCCGGCTGGGGTGCCAGATTCTGTCCCGGTTGCTCCTCTTCCAGGCCAGCTCTCTGCTGTGGCCTTGGAAGGCAGTGGAGAATGGCCCAAGTGCTTGGGCCCTGCACCTGCATGGGAGACCAGGAGGAAGCACCTGGCTCCTGGCTTCAGATCAGCACAGCATGCCAGCCGTAGCGGCCATTTGGCGAGTGAACCAACGGAAGGAAGACCTTTCTGTCTGACTCTCTGTCTCTCTCACTGTCTAACTCTGGCTGTCCAAAAAAAAAAAAAAAAGAAAGAAAAAAAAAGAAAGAAAACCGAGGCAGAGTCTCTTTCTCTCTAACTCTGCCTGTCATAAAAAAAAAAAAAAAAATTCAACTGACTGAACACCAAAAAGGAAACCTCCTGAAGTGAAATGGACACTATGGGAAACAGTGACTTGATCAGCATAGCCCTGACTGTTAATGAACAACTTAATACATTATCCCTCTTAGTAGTTTTTTTGTCTGTTCTACTTAATATGACTGGTTTAATTCTGTAATTAATACACAGTTATTCTTAAGTGTTAAAAATTAACTGAAATGTGATCCCTGTTAAACATAAGAGTGGGAATAAGAGAGGGAAGAGATGTATAATTTGGGACATGCTCAAGCTGACTTGCCCCAAATGATAGAGTTAAAAACATACCAGGGGATTCCAATTCAATCCCATCAAGGTGGCATGTGCCAATGCCATCTCACTATTCCAAGTGATCAATTTCAGTTCACAATTGATCATAATGAAAGGACTAAGAGTCAAAGGGAGCACATAAACAAGTCTAGTACCTGCTAACACTAACCGATGGAATAAATAAAGGGGAGAGTGATCCAACATGGGAAGTGAGATACTCAGCAGACTCATAGAATGGCAGATGTCCTAAATAGCACTCTGGCCTCAGAATCAGCCCTAAAGCCATTCGGATCTGGCTGAAAAGCCCATGAGAGTATTTCAGGCATGGAAAGCCAAGACACTCTGGCAAAAGATCTCTGCGAGTGAGATCCCAGTGGAAAGAACAGGTTTTCAAAGAAGGAGGTACCTTTCTCTGAAGGGAGGAGAGAACCTCCACTTTGACTATGACCTTGTCTAAACAAGATAAGAGTCGGAGAACTCAGAGGACTTCCATAGCCTTGGAAACTCATGACTGGAGCATAGGGAGACTACTGATGCCATAGACAGGAGTGTCAATTGGTAAAGTCAACAACAGGAGTCACTGTGCACTTACTCCTCATGTAGGATCTCTGTCCTTAATGCGCTGTGTATTGAGATTTAATGCTATAATGAGTACTCAAACAATATATTTCACTTTGTGTTTCTATGGGGGTGCAAACCGTTGAAATCTTTACTTAATGAATACTAAACTGATCCTCTGTAAAAAAAAAAAAAAAAGAAAAAAGAAATTATCAATTCCCAACTTGACTCTCAATGGGATTAAACATGACAATAGGTCTGATCTGATTTCATCATCATTTAAAAAAAATCATCTATTATTTTTCACTTTATGTTTCTGTGTGGGAGCAAACTGTTGAAATCCTTACTTAATGTATACTAAGCTGATCTTCTGTATATTAAGATAATCGAAAATGAATCTTGATGTGAATGGAAGGGGAGAGGGAGTGGGAAAGGGGAGGGTAGTGGGTGGGAGGGACGGTATGTGGGGGAAGCCATTGTAATCCATAAATCGTACTTTGGAAATTTATATTCATTAAATAAAAGTTAAAAAAAATTCATTCACAGTAATAATGCTATATTATACCGAGTACTTTAATAGATATCCTCTCCTTTGATTAGCACAACCATCAATCAAGTGAGATATTTCCCTTTTCCAAAGTTAGGAACCTGCGGTATTAAAAAAGCAAAATCAGGACTTCAACCAAGCATCTACCTACTGTATCACATTGCCTCTAGCAGTATATTACTGTATTGATCTCATATGGCAAGCATGAAAGTTAGCCTTACTAGTTTCTAATGATACAAAAAACACAGTCAGGTACTTCCTAACATAATGAAGTACTCAAGTAGTTTCATTCTTCCTTCCATACTTCACTTGTGGGTGAGACAAGCAAATAATAATAAAAGTTGGAAATTCAAGATAAAAGCAAAACAAACAAAACTTTCCAACAGACAATGTGGATTGCTACAAACAGGTCAACCTCAAATTAGAATGTTTCACTTCTGACCATGTCCAGGAACCAGGGCAAGTGAGGAATGTGCTATAAATCTGCAGTTTTAACTAATTCTTTAACAATCACTAACCATCAAAATTAATGACTGCCTCCTCTTGAAATTCTACTTCCAAACTCCCAAGCAAAATGAAAACATGTTCAGTCAAAAACTTGTATGCAAATATTCAAAGAAGCATTATTCACAACAGCCAAAAAATAAACATAGCTGAAATGTCCAAATGATGAACACATAATATTTTCAAACAATGAAATATTATTCAGCCACGAAAAAGGAATGATACATGCTACAACATGAATAAACCTTAAAAACATTATGCTGTCAAAAAAGCCAGTCACAAAGAAACACATATTATACAATTCCATTTATATGAAATGTCCAGAGAAGGTAATTCCACAGAGACAGAAGAGAGATTAGAGATTTCCAGGCTATGAGGGAACTAAGGGAAAAAGGATGTGATGGCTAATGGGTCTGGGTATTTTTTTGCGATAAAGAAAATGTTCTCAACTTAGATAGTGCTGATGGTTCAATAATTTTGAATATACTAAAAACACTTAATTGTCTGCTTAAATGGGTAAACTACATTCATATAACATGAATTATTTCTCAATTAAACTATTTAAAATTATGTCCCAGTATCTCTATAATATACTTAACTTTTCAAAAATTCAATTATTTTCCAGTATATTCCCTCAAGTTAGGGAAGTGAATTGATAATTTTAAAGCATTTCAACACCATGTCATAAGCATTATGGAGCCATCCTGGCAAATACTTCAAGGAAAGATTCAATTTTTATGAATGATCAAACTCTTAAAAAATGATTTGTTTATTTGAAAGTCAGAGTGGGGGGGGGGGAATGAATATTCCATCCACTGGTCCACTCCCCAAATGGCCAAGACTGGGACAATCTGAAGCCAGAAGCTTCATCCGGGTCTCCCACATGGATGGCAGGGGCCCAAACACTTGGGCCACACTTTGCTGCTTTTCCAGGCCATTAACAGGGGGCTGGATTAGAAGTGGAGCAGCAAGGACACAAACCAGCCACCATATGAAATGCTGGCATCGCAGGTGGCAGCTTTACCCACTTCGTCACAATGGTAACAACAGCCTCTCAAATGACAAAATTCTTAAAACGTTTTCTTCACTAAAAAAAAGGGGGTGGTGATGATTATTTATTTTAAAGGTAACATGACAGAGGATAGACAAAGAGAGACAGAGCTCTTTCATTTGCTGGTTCATTCACCAAAAGCCAAGGCTGGGCCAGGCCAAAGCAAAGAGCCAGGAACTCTACCCAGGTCTCCCACATGGGTGGCAGGGAGCCTAATACTTGAGCCACCATCTGCTGCTCCCCAAGAGCATTAGCTGGAAGCTAGTTTGGAAGCTGAAGTGGGACTCAATCCCAGGCACTCCGATAGGGCAGCATTCCAAACAGTGGCTTAACACACTATGTGCAACAAAGCCTCCCCTCAAAATTTTTTCCATTTTTACAAAAATGTCATTTCATTCTTTTTCCCCTTTCACTTTTCTTAAAGACCACACTGTTTTAGAAGTTTTATTGAAGTATAATATATTACCATAAAAATCACTGTTTTTAATTGTATGAGTACAGGCAGATGTTTTAATAAATGTACACATTTGTGCATGTAATCTTCACCAGCATCGTGTGGGGAATATTTTTAGCACTCTATAAAGTTCCCTGTACCCATCTGTTGTCAATTCCTGATCCTGCTCCCACCTCCAGACTCTGGCAACCACTGATCTGCTTTAGTCTTTAAAGATTTTCCTTCTTAGAGATTTTAAATAATCAGGGCCAGCATTGTGATGCAGCAAATTAAGCTGCTGCCTGCAGTTCCAGCATCTTATGTAGGCACAGGTTCAAGTCCTGGATGCTCTACTTCTAATCCAGCTCCCTGCTAATGTGCCTAGGAAAGCAGCAGAAAATGGCCCAAGTGCTCAGGCCTCTGCACTCACATGGGAGACCTGAAGAAGCTCCTGGCTCCTGGCTTCAGTCTGGCATAGTTGTGGCCATTTGGGGAGTGAACCAGCGGATAGAAGCTCTTTGTCTCTCTCTCTCTGTATCTTTGCCTTTCAAATAAAATAAATCAATCTCAAAAAAATTTAAATAATTGGAATCATCCAACACTCAGTCATTTGTTACTATAAATGTTTTTGAAGTCATCCATTTGGTTATTTATTAGCAGTTCATTCTATCTAGTTGCTTAGCAGTATTCCATCACATGCTTGCAACTCACTATGTTTACTCATTTATCAGTGGATGAACACTGGAACTGTTTAGAGTTTTTAGTTAACACAAATAATATTGCTGTAAATAGTCTCATAAAAATCATTGTATAGACATATGTATTCATATTCAGATACCCAGAAGTGGAATTTTTAAGTCACAGGGATGGATGTACAAAAGGTCTTCAAAAACTTCAGAGAAAATATGTATTATGAAAGAAAGTGCTCATGGACTTCAAAAACATTTTTGCACAAAAACACACTTATATTTATGTTTTCCCATGAACATTTTGAAGGACCTTCATATGTCTAAGTTTTTTTAAAAACAGCCAAACTTCACCAAAATGGCATTATATTTTTACACTCCTGCCAACAATTTATGAGGTTTCCAGTTTCTTTACATCTCAACAATACCTAGGACATTGCTTTTTGTTTTCTGCCAACTGAGGAGGGTTCTTAATTTTGATGAAGTCCATTTTTCCAATTTGGTGTTAAATTAAGAAATCTTCACCTAATCTGAGGTCATAAAGATTTGCCCCTATTTTCTTCTGAGAGTATTACAGTTTTGGCTTTTATATTTAGGTCTTTGCTCTTCTTAAAATTTTACTCTTCTTAAAGTTTTACTCTTCTTAAAGTTTTAGTTTCACATTTTACATTTAAATCTATGATTCCTTTTTATGCATAGTGTGAAGCAATGGTCTCATTTTTTATAAACATATGACTAGCTAAGTGTCCTAGTACAATTTGTTGAAAAGACTACCATTTCCCTAGGTGCATTACCTCAGCACATATACAAACATATATCCATATACATCCATCTGTCTGTCTCTATATATACATATACATACACAAATACCTGAGTTTATTTCTTTATTCTGTTCTATTGATCTACTGACTATGACTGGATCTGTAAGGTTTTTTTTAAGATTTTTTTATTTGAGAGGCAGAGTTTCAGACAGGCAGAAGCAGAGACACACAGAGAGAGGTCTTCCATCTGATGGTTCACTCCCCAGATGACTCAATGGCCAGAGCTATGCCGATCTGAAGCCAGGAGCTTCTTCCGGGTCTCCATGCGGTGCAGGGGTCCAAGGACTTGGGCCACATTCTACTGTTTTCCCAGGTCATAGCAGAGAGCTGGATCAGAAGTGGAGCAGATGGGACTTGAACCAGCACCCATATGGGATGCCAGCACTGCAGGCGGTGGCTTTACCCGCTATGCCACAGTGCCTGCTGCAGTAAGTTTTTCTTCTCTAATTTTAATTTTCTCCTACTAGTTTTGGGTTTGGTTTGCTGTTGTTTTTTTAGATCCTTCAGATGCACTGATAGCACATTTATTTGGTGGCCTTCTAATTTCTTGATGTAGGCACCAATTGCTATAAACTTTCCTTTTAACACTGCTTTTGCTGTATCCCCTAAGTTTTCATATGTTATGCTGTCATTAAGCAAGTTTTGAAGCTAGCTATTACAAGCCCTTTTGGCTATTTTTTAAATTGCTTTAACTCTGCTTGGTCCTTTAAATTTCTGGGTATTTTAGAGCTAGCTAAGAAACTTACTGGGATTTTAATTGGGATTGCACACAAGATTATTAATTTGTGTTTGTACAATCCATAAAAACGGTATCTCTCTTCATTTGGGGGGGGGTCATCTTCAATTTTTCTCCGTAATGTTTTACAGTTTTCAGTGTACAAAAATACCAATACTAAGCTTCTTACTTACATCTTAAACATAGAATCAAACTGTAATAGTAATCTCAGCAAAAGTTATTTAAAAATTTCCCTGACACAATTTTATTATACTTCACATTCAACAGTGAGATAAATAATGAACAAACAGTAAAGATCTGTCATCTCACAAAGTCTAAGGATCATAAACTATTAAGCATAAAAAAGTTAACTACTATCCAAAGAAGGCAATCAACTTGAACAGAATCCCCACAAAAGTTTCTTGCAGAAAGTAAAACCTCAATCTTTTTTTATTTGTCTACCTCCCATCAAACCCAACAAAATTCCTCAAAAAAATATATACCAAAATAAGTAAAACTGAGTGCTGAAAACTCAGTAAATATACCATCTCTGGTCTTTTTGTCTTAATTTTTATAGTATGATTTTTGTTTCTAATCATAAAGGTATAAGCCTTTACATAAACCTGTCAAATAAAATGGGATGGGGCAGCATTGTAGTGGAGCAGGTAAAGCTGCCACCTGTGATGCCAGCATCCCATATGGGCGTTGGTTCAAGTCCCAGCTATTCCACTTCTGATCCAGCCCCCTAATGTGCTTGGGAAAGCAGCAGCAGGCGACCCAAGTGCTAGGGCCTCTGCACCCACGTTGGAGACCTGGATGAAACTCCTGGCTCTTGGTTTTGGCCCAGTCCAACCCCGGTCATTGGCCAACTGGAGTGGATGGAAGATCGCTCTCTCTCTCTCTCTGCCTCTCCCTCTGTACCTCTGCCTTTCAAATAAATAAATCTAAAATAAAATAAAATGGGATTGAAGTTCTACAAAAAGTTCAAGTCAAGAAAAACTGAAAAATGTTTAGAAGAATGAATGTTAACAAAGGCCTTTTGATGAGAAACTCTCCTTTAAAGCAAAAATATTTAGCATTCAAACCAACAGCTACATACAAGAAGGTTCATAATTATATTTTTGTAACAGCAGAAAATATAAACTAAATGCCCCCTGACAAGAGTAGATAATATAAACTAGCATATTCAGATTATTGTGCTGTTGTAAAAATGAACTAGGGTTTTATGCAAAATCCCAGAAAACAATAAGCAGTATGATTACAAGCAAATCATACTGTTTGAGCAGTATCAATTATTAAAATATTTTTTAAATCACAAGCAAAAACTATTTTTATCATTCATTATAAATGATTTTCCAGAAGTTTTGTAGTGAACTCCAAATGTACTTCCAAAATTTTACCTTTGCTTCTGTTCAACTGCTTTGTCTAAGTGCTGGAAGATATCCTGAAACAAGGTGCAACTGGATCGACTATTAATAGTATAGCCATGTCCTCTTTTCCAGTACTGTTTCAGGTCATTTAAATATTCTAATACCTGAAAAAAAAATTTAAAAAACATTTCAATACACAGATTTCCAAATTTAATAATTATCCTGTCAAAAAAAAAAGGCTACACTGTCTACCATTTTGCACAAAAGACATCAGACCTTTCATATTCATGGATTTATTTATATCATCTCAAGCATATAAGAGCTGCCCCTGACAATCCATGACAGAGATTACTGCTGCATCACATATTTCAATCAGAAGAACGCCGAGGCTTGCGAGCAAAAGCAAGTTAGTAAATCCACACAGCCAATAACCCAGCATCCAAGAGAGTTCAGGAGACTGAACAGGCACTCATCACCCTTTCCATCTAAAATTATATTAAGATGAGAAAGAAACAGAAAAAAAATACACAGAATGATATTTATTACAGCACAGAAAGATACCATTAGTGAATTGGGAATTTTTAAGAATTCTGAGAAGACAAAAAAAAGCGTTACTTTGGTTCACTTATCAGTTTGGCAAAAGTACTGGTAAAAGCATATCAAAGACATGATATGTAAGTACTGTTGAAAGCAAAGTACACTGGTATAGACATACTAGAGAGTAAGTCAGCGAAGTCTATGAAAACACACATACTCTAATCAATTTAATTCCACTTCTTATATAGTAATATTTACAGAGAAACAAGAATATCTTATGATAGCAGTGTTTACAGGAGTTAAAAATTTCCTGGAAACAGCTGAATTCCATTAGTAAGTACCTGTTAAATAAAGTAAGATATCCATATTCTATGCAGTACTCTACAGTTACCAAAAAGTTACATATTGAAATAACTGACATGGAAAGATTTTCAAGAAATACTTCTGAATGAAAAAAGAGTGGGTTAAGAATAATAAACACAGTAATACCACTTATTACCTAAACACATACACCGATCACAACCTGAGGAGTCAGATCTCAGTTTGTGAAGCATTAAAGGCAATCAGCAGGGCAGAATATCAAGAGTAAGTTATGCAGCAGTCCCATAAGTCTGTGAACTAGATGGCAGACTTCTATCTCTGTCTCTTTGCCTTTCAAATTTAAAAAAAAAAAAAAAAAAAAAAAAAAAAAAAAAAAAAAAAAAAAAACACCACCATTTTTTATCTTAAAACCAGCAGAATACACCTCTTTAAAGCACATGGAACACCTGGAGGAGCAAAAGCAGCAATCCTTCCCTTGAAACAATGTGAATGAAGTCTAAGGGGAGCCACCCTGGGCTGTATGAACACTACTACAAGGCTTGACAGTCAGTCAGTCTTTTCATATGCATAAAGGATCACAGAGGAGAGTAACTAAACTTGAAGGAATCTTGCTCCTTTCTGGATATCTACTCATCTCTGTTAGCTAGCTATAGAGAAGCTAAAAATCAAAATGAGGGGCCAGCATTTATGGGCTAAGCATCCAATAACAACAAAATGTTGAGGGGGCTGGCACTGTGGCATAGTGAGTAAAGCCACCACCTGCAGTGCCAGCATCCCATACGGGTGCTGTTTCAAATCCTGGATGCTCCACTTCTGATCCAGCTCTCTGCTGTGGCCTGGGAGCAGTGGAAGATGGCCCAAGTCCTTGGGCCCTTGCACCCTTATGGGAGATGCAGAGGAAGCTCCTGGCTCCAGATCAGCACAGCTCCGGCTGTCTTGGTTATCTGGGGAGTGAACCAGCAGATGGATGACCGACCTACCTACCTACTTCTCTCTCTCTCTCTGCCTCTTCTTTCTGTAATTCTGCCTTTCAAATAAATAAACAAATCTTTTAAAAAAATGTTGAGGGGCTGGCACTGTAGTGCAGTGGGTTAGGGCTCCAGTCTGCAGTGCTGGCACCATATGGGTGCTGGTTCAAGTCCTAGCTGCTCCTCTTCCAATCCAGCTCTCTGCTATGACCTGGGAAAGCAGTAGAAGATGGCCCAAGTCCTTGGGCCCCTGCAACCACGTGAGAAGCTCCTGGCTTTGGATCAGCTCAGCTCTGGCTGCTGTGGTCATTTGGGGAGTGAACCACTGGATGGAAGACCTCTGTCTCTCTCTGGTTCTACCTCTCTCTGTATCTCTTTCAATAAATAAATAAATCTTCCAATAAATAAAATAAATCTCTTTAAAAAAGATTATATATACATAGTGGACAGAGTAAGTGTTTCCCATTTGTCTCCATGTTAATCCCTGGATGTCCTATGAATATGCTACACGATAAAAAGGAATTTACAACTGATCAGCTATGGATTTTGAGATGGAGAGAGTACCCTGGACCATGCAGGTAGGCCCAGTGAAATCACAAAACTCCTTCTACGGCAGGAAGTACAGTCAGGGTTAGAGATACACCTACTTTGCAGAGACTTAAGTGATAAAGGAATACAAGTGATCTCCAGGGACTAGAAAGGCAAGCTATGGATCTTTTCCTACAGCCTACAAAAGAATATTTCTGCCATTATTCAACCCTCATTTTGGACTTGTGACCTCCAGAACTCTATAGATAATAAATTTGCATTGTTTTAGGCCACTATGTCTATAGTAATTTGTTACAACAGCACAAAAACTAAAATAATAGCTTAGAGAGATAAAGCAAATGTGGCAAAATGGGGGGAGGCATTTAACAACTGTACATATACAACTAGGTGACAAGAGGATGGATAAGCAGAGACCGTCTATAGCCTGAGAAACATATTGTCACTGCAGTGAAAGCAGGCTGCACTTAAACTAGAAGTTGCTAATCTTCAGAATAAATAGGACACACAAATATAGCTACTCAGAACAAGAAAGGAACAGATGGGAGATAGGTAGGTGAATCTTACCCCCAATACTTAAACAACTAGAGTAACTGGGCAAGTAAGAAGTTTGGTCATGAGGCTGGCACTGTGGCACAGTGGGTTAACGCCCTGGCCTGAAGCGCCAGCATCCCATATGGGCGCTGGTTCGAGACCCGGCTGCTCCACTTCCAATCCAGCTCTCTGTTATGGCCTGGAAAAGCAGTGGAAGATGGCCCAAATCCCTGGGCCCCTGCACCTGCATGGGAGACCCGTAAGAAGCTCCTGGCTTCAGACTGGCACAGTTCCAGCAGTTATGGCCAACTGGAGAGTGAACCTTCGGATGGAAGACCTCTCTCTCTGTCTCTCTGCCTCTCCTCTCTCTGTGTAACTCTGACTCTCAAATAAAATAAAAAAATCAAGAAGTTTGGTCAAAAGGCAAATTTCCCTCTTGCAAATATCCATCGTTACACAATATAGAAAATCACTTCAACTAATTTTTTCCCCAGGAAGCAACCTGAGTAGGGAGAAAAGGAGGTATTGTGATACGAGTGGCAATCATAAGTCTCAGTTTATATCTATACAGACATAATTATCAGCAGCGCCCCTTTCAGTTTTAAAAGTGTCCCAATTCAGAACATAAATTACATGATCACCCTAAGCACAAAGTACTTCAAAAGAGGGAAGACCAGGAAGTTTCTGAAGTAGTGCATTATGGACAGAAATGACAAGGATAATGGGTATCTGGTTAGGGAAAAAGGAGGCCCCCAGAATCAAGAACACTGAAGGAAAATACAATATTCTTCCTTACTGTGGTCCTCAGCATCCTACAGCAACCACCCAGAGGGACCTTCCCCTCTCTTCCAAGTCGCCATGTAAGCTCCACCCTCACACTGACACAGTAATCACATTATTACCTTTGATCTGCTGCTGATACCTGAAGTCCCTGAGTGACAACATAAACCTCCTGTTTACTTTCACACAAAAGGTAGTAAATTACCTCTCAGCTTAAGAGTTCTGCTCTATCTGGCAAACAGTATGCTTCTTCTCAAACTTTGAAAATAAATTTTGAAGCTGATAATCAATTTCCATATGACATAATGAAGGTTTTACATGTACACAAAGGATAACTAACGTTTCACAAGTCCATATCCTGAATGATCCAAACTTAAAATTGCTTAACTAACATTCTCTTACCCTATCTCTCTGGTCCAGCACTCCAGAACTGACCAGAATTTACCTCTCTTACAGCCATCAGAGGCTATAAGTCAGAGATACACCAATGAGGAGAAAAAAAGGGAAATGAAGTAGGTAGGCAGGAATTATAAATGGATTACTGCCACCACCAGGTGGAACACAGAACTCAATTCTCGGGAAAATTGTCACAAACAAACAGTTAAGTCTTCAGAAAATCATTAATCCACTCTTGAGTTCTGACTTCGTATAAAAAGAAGTATTGGGATTACACCATCTCTACAACCCCTTCCACCAGTAAAATGGTGGAAAAATAACGGAAATTACTTTTATAATAAAAATAGTGGAAAATAAATGGGAAAAAAATGGCGATGGGTTAAACACATTTTTAATTGTGTGAAACTAGAAATTCAATAACCATGGAAAAATGTTTTCCAGCGTTTTACGAACAAAAACTGCTTGCAAATAGGTGAGACTCACTTGAATACTTCAACCTCTTGAATGAAAATCGGGAGCTAGTCATTAGACAGTGTATGCTCCCTAACTCTTATTTTCAGAAAAGTGGCTTCAAGTAACAATACAACAAAAACACATAAAAAAATGAAAAAAGACTGCAAAAGTAATACTTACCCTTGCATCGTCTATGTCAAAAACATCACACCAAGGAGACTTAACACCTTTAATTGCCAGGTCAAATGAACAGGTAAAAAAAGCTACCTGAATTAAATCTGGGGGAGGAAAAAAACAGGTAAAAATGTGTGGGTTATTAGTTCATGCAATTTTTAAAGGCTAAATATCTATAGAAGTCCATGTATGGCACAGCTGAAGAAACTGGGTATCCCTGCTTTGGAAAAGAAACTACTTGGGTTTTCCCAGCTATCAAAGAGTTAAAAGACTTGCTCTGTACCATTTAAAGGTGTAGAAGTGGAACTATCCAGAACATACTTGAGGAGGCACAGATTTCAATGAAACTAAAAACCTTTCTGTAAACAGTAACATTACATTTTTAAAAGTTTTTTTTTTATTAAGAGCATATTTGCCTAGCAAGTCCAACAAAAAATTTAGTCCAAGGATTTACTATGTAAAACTTGACTTGTGAAATTTAGAGGGCTAGAGAAGGAAAGCTAAATTAAAGGCTTTAGTCCCTAACCTGAAAATCAGGAACACATTTATTGAACACCTTTTAAAACTATACAATTCCCATCATAATTATTATGACGAGGAAGTATAAAGAAAAGGGCATGAAAGGGAAAAGATGACTGTAGAAAACAGAGACAAAGAAAGAGCAGAGGTAAGTGAGGGGGCAAGAGAAAGGTGAAACAAAGAGTCACGGAGAAAAATAAGAACACACTAAAAGGGAAAGAAAGATGGTAGCAGCATCCGTTTTTCAAGCTGCATAGACAATTTCAGAAGTAGTACCTGGGATTTTTACACTGCTAATTTATTGATTATATTACCTTTGGATACACTGGTATTGAAGACAAGGGATAAAGAAACGAGTGCTTGGGCTGCAAAAGGTAGTGCTGGTAGAAATAAAATCATTGCTGCTCTCTAGTCAGTGAGAAGTGGATGATACTTAATGCCAGAGATACAGGAGTCAACTGCAGGAGTTGACTCCATTGCTTTTTCCTCATTATTATTGCTTTTCTTCCATTTCAATGAAAAACAAATTTTTAATCAAAAACTAATTGAGATTACATGCTTTGAACACTGAGTTTAAATAATTCCCCTGATGCAGTATATAGTACAAAAAAGTGTATTTCTTTGGGAATATACACAAAAGCCATTCAAAAATTTTGTTTAGGGGTGGGCACTGTGGCACAGCTTGTTAAGTCATATTAAGCCATCACCTGGGATGCCTGTATCCCATATCAAAGTGTCTGGAATGGAGTCTACCTCTGCTTTTGATCCAACTTTTTGCTAACACACATCCCAGGAGGGTACTGATGATAGCTCAAGTATGTGGGTTCCAGCCACCCATGAGGATGGGAAGTGAATCAATGGTTAGAAGATATCCTTTGGGGGCCAGTGCCGTGGCTCACTTGGTTAATCCTCTGCCTGTGGTACTTGCATCTCATATGGGCGCCAGGTTCTAGTCCTGGTAGCTCCTCTTCCAGTCCAGCTCTCTGCTGTGGCCCAGGAGGGCAGTGGAGGATGGCCCAAGTTCTTGGACCCCTGCACCCGCGTGAGAGACCAGGAAGAAGCGCCTGGCTCCTGGCTTTGGATTGGCGCGGTGCTGGCTGTGGCGACCATTTGGGGAGTGAATCCATGGAAGGAAGACCTTTCTGTCTCTCTCTCTCTGTAACTCCATCTGCCGAATAAATAAATAAAATCTTAAAAAAAAATAAGATATCCTTCTTCTCTTAGTTCTCTGCCACTGTCTTTCAAAATAAATATAATTTAAAGAAACTTTTGTCTATATAACAGAAAGGTTTCATGATTCCAATACCTAGAATAAGTACCATGTATAGCAGATGAAAGCTCTTGGCCCATTTAGACTCAAAGTTCAAGTTCTGAAACTATGAAAGTCAGGCCCAATAGTGTATTCTTTAATCAAAAAGAAACTGACTAAACAGGAGTTCAGCAAAAAAACTCTTTGAAGTATAGAGGAAAAAAAAAAGCTTGAGATTAAGACTGAGGTTATGAGTCCTAATTGTACCATTTATTATTCTGGGAAAGCCATTCAGGATGTTTGAGTCTCAGTGTTCCCACCTACAAAATATGCAGGTTAAACTATTTAGTTGGCAAGTTATAGCTCTGATTCATTTTGATTTTTTTTTTTTTTAGATTTGCAAGATTTTTTTATATACTGAAGGAAAAAAAGAGAGCCAGATATCAAGATCTTCCATCCCAAATGGCTGCAACAGCCGAGGCTGGTCCAGGCCAAAGCCAGCGGCCCAGAACTCCATCTGGATCTCTCATGTGGGTGGCAGGGGCTCAAGCAATTAGGTCATTCTCCAGTGCCTTCCCAGGCACATTAGCATAAGCTGGACTGGAAGAACAGCCAGGACTTGAACTGGCACTCCAATATGAGATTCTAGTGCCACAAGTGGCTGTTTAACATGCTGTACCAACACGTCGGTCCCCTCTTCTGACTTCTTGATCAATATTTTGGGACACCAAAAATATCTCAGATGAATCAGATTTAGATATTAAAAATATAAAGGAAGACAATAGAAAAATATAATAATATGGGGATAAGAGAGGATTTCTAGACAAAATAATAAAAGTCATAATGAAAAGAAAGATTGGACTACATAAAAGATGTAAACATCAATCAAAAGCACCATAAATACACCTAAGCTAAGCAACAAATTAAGAGAAAATATTAGGAATATACAATAAGAACTAATCTTTTGTCAGGCAGAATTAAAAGGTATAGAGTTAATATATTCATAACACATAATGGGTACTTATGATCAATGAGATAAACAAATAACCCAAAAGAAAATAGGTAATGTTAGGAAGATGCAAGTCTCAGAAGCAACCAAATATCTAATAAACATAGAAAAAATGTCCATTTTTAAATACAAATGAAAGCTAAATGCTATTTTTCATTAAATTTGGAAAAATTAAAATTACTAACATTTACTGTTGGATGAGATATGCAAAAATGATGATTCTCAAACTGTTGATATAATTTTTACTATACCTTCAGAAAACAAATATTCAAATATTCATCAGTGTTAATACAATAATTACAACTACATATCTTCTAGAGAAATTCTCAAGTGTAAATAACAGACTACAAGAATGTTCACTGCAACAATCATTTGACAGAGCTAAAAACTAGAAAAAACTTCAGTAAGAAATTAGTTTCTTATAAAAAGAATTTGGATTGTATTAGCTCCAGCCTCTAATAGCAGTAAAATCTGATAGGTTTTTACTGCATTGAACCAAAAATTAAGTCATATATCCTATGAAATTACATATAATTTGAAAGAATGTGACAGGTCTGTATGTATAGACATACACTGTTACATAAAAATAAATTACAGAAAATATTCACTATATCACACATCTATGTAAATAAAAAAGATATTCAAATAGCTCAAATATTTACTGAGCAGTTTCTATGCCAAGTACTGCACTAAATGCTTTGAAAGAATTAATCACATATAATCCTTTCAATGATCCTCTGAGGTTAAGAGTATTTCCTATACCCATTTTATAAAGAAGCAAACTACGGCATTGAAACATTAAGGAAGTTGCTAAAAATCCGTTGGTCAATACTAGAGTAAGGTCAAGATACAAACACAAACAATCCAGAATGCACAATTTCAACCACTTATGCATATATTTTCTCCAAAAAGAAGTTGCTCTCAGTTCCCATTAACAAAATAAAAATTCTTTGCCTGTTTTCAAAGACTTAAAAATATTTTACAAAAAAATCTTTTTCAACGATCTAAATGCTCACTGAGAGAATAATGACTAGATACCAATACAGTTGTATAAGAGTATTCTAAACTTAGGGCTAGAATCAAAAACATTAAATAAAAAACAAAAAGTGGTGCATAAAAAAATCAAATTTCAGAATCATACACTTGACTACTGTTACCTCAAAAGATTAAATATCTGAACAACTACATCCCATTTATGTTCAGAAACACACAGAAACTGGCCTGGTATAATTTAAGCACTCAATTTGTGATGCTGAATACCTGTGGAGAAAAAAGAAGGAAATCCAGGAAAGGAACTACAGGGCCTCAATTTCCTTTTTATTCACTTGAAAGGCATAGTGTCACAGATCTCCCACCTGCTGGTTCACTTTCCAAATACAAACAACAGCTGGGACTGGCCAGGCCAAATCTAGGAGGTAGGAACTCAAACCAGGTCTCCTACCTGGTGGCAAGGACCCAAAAGTACTGGAGCCATCACCAGTTGTCTCCCAGAGTGCAATAGCAGGCATCAAGAGTGGAAGCAGGGCCTGGACATGAACCCAGGCACTCCAGGATTCTTAGCCCAGTGATGCTTAACTGCTAAGCCAAACGCCCACTCCTGGACCTCAATTTTAACTGAAACATAATGTTAAAATTTGGTAAAACTAAACTGTGAATATATATTCAGTACATTAGACTTCATTCTTATCTATATTTCACAATAAAATACATAATTTTTAAAGCTCTAGAGGTGACCTGAATGTATAGCCAGTCTAGGGAAAGAAAAAAAAATTTCAAATACTAGTCTAGGCATATTCCTTTTTATAAAAAAAAAATTAGTTTTATTTATTTGAAAAGCAGAGTTATGAGAGAGGAAGAGACAGAGAGATCAATCTTCTATCCACTGGTTTACTCCCTAAATGGCACCAACAGCCAGGGCTGGACCAGAACAAAGCAGGAGCTTCTTCTTGGTCTCCCACTTGGGTGCAGGGGCCCAAACACTTGGGATACCTCCCATTGCTTTCCCAGGCACATTAGCAGGAAGTTGGATCAGGAGTGGAGTAGCTGGGACTCAAACCAGAACCCATATGGGATGCCAGCATCGCAGGTGGCGGTTTACCTGTGACAACACAACGCCAGCCCGCAACGTCTTCATGTTTTGATCCTTCTGAAGCATCCAGGCTCCAAGACGGATAGATTCTAATCTATTTTCCCCTCAACATGTCCTACTTCTAGTCTTCTGGAAAATGATTCAGAACATAATGAAATCCAGCCATTTACATATGTCGACATTTGCTCTACAGATAACAAATTGCTAGGAAACAGAAATATATCTTATTTTCTTAATTTCCCATTGCTAGGAGACCATGTGCCCTAGTTTTCTAGCTGCCTTCCCAGTATAATTATTATCAGTGTTCTATTTTACCCTCAAAGGGTCACAATTTGGATGACAAATTACACAGCTCAATCACTGCAATACCTTTTGTTATGACTGATTAACTCAGCATCTCTGTAAATGAAACCCTCAAAAGACATATGCCTCTACTTTTCACTTTGTAAAAACTTATCCTTCTCACATATTAGGCTATGATTTCCCTATTTTTAAAAAAGATTTATTAATTTGAAAGGCTAAGTTACAGAGACAGGGAGAGACAGAGAGATCTTCCTTTCACTAGTTTATTTTCCAAATGGCTACAACGACCAGGACAGGGTCAGGCCAAAGCCAGGAGCTTTATCCAGGTTTCCCGCATGGGTACAGGGGCCCAAGCAGCACTTAGGCCAATTTCCTTTGCTTTCCCAGGTCACTAGCAGGGAGCTGGATTGGAGGTGGAGCAGCCAGGACTCAAACCAGTGTCCAAACAGGATGCCAGCATCACAGATGGCAGCTTAACTGGTAAGCCACAATGATGGCCCTGATTTTTCTACTTGTATCACTTTATGAAGAGATAATCTAAAAAAAATGCTTGCTTTATACTTAGAATCTGAGTCCTCCAAAAAAATCCAGTACAGCAAGAATCTTCTATATCAATTTACAAAAGTCAAAGAATGTGAGTGTAAATATAGCAAAGCATGAGGTATACACTTTTCCTGACTCCTTATTTTCTTAACATAAATTGGCCTCAAAAAGGATAACTATTTTCTTATTTTGTGATTTTCATAGTTCAAAATTATTTAAACCAAAGTTCAAATGACAGATAATAAGCACAATACCTGCATTTAAATCATTTACTGGCACTTGCAAAGTAGCTGCAACTTTTTTTAAAATGTTCTGCATTTCTGGTCCAGTTTTGAAGGCTTCTACGTGATAAAGAGCCGTAGCATTCCTTTCCACTTCAGTTAAAAACTTCTCACAATGATCAAAGAATCTCATCAATTTATCATTAATCCTTGGAGGTCCACACTCCATATCTGAAAGGAAAAAAGTTTACATAGGTGTAAATCATTCACATAAATGACAATTTCAAATTATTTAAAATTTTGTTTCAAGTGTGAAAAATGAATACAATTTAATCTGCATGTATAAGTTTATGCTGGAAAAAGAGTGAAATTATCTCTCGTTTACAGTAATTATGAAGCATGAGAATATGCTAAAATGACTAAAGAGAGCATCAAGTATATATATTAATAATGTGTTATAAAAAACTGTGCAATGAAATAAAGGCAATTGAAATGATTTTTATAATAAAATTTTTATAGAAAAATTAGAAGTCAGAGAAGCATAAAACTGCTAAGACAGTAAACTTCAGAAAGCACAGAAAACTTCACAAAGCAAACTAAAAATTAGCAAAGTTTCCAACTCCAAAGTTAAAAAGAATTCAAGAGATTAGATCTGTTTTAATATTTCAAACACAAGTCTAAATATAGTATTTTATTTTCTCAATTAACTTTCCTAACCCTGTTTAACTTTACAAAAGATTGAGCTTTGTGCCAAAACCACAGACAACAGCACAAAACACATTAATGTTTCAGTTGACTGTGTTTCACTGTGCTAAGTGCTTTTGATTTGGTTTATTCTTTAACTGAAGCTTCCAGATAACTTTCCATTTAGAATTTAGTAAATTAACGTTATTTCCCCAATTCAACAACAAATATATATTGGAAAAACATTCATAATCATTCAATTGCTGGGATATCTGCTAATAATTTCTCATGAGAATACCAGGTATATAATTTCTGTACATAACATGAGAAAAATATAGTTAACACCATTGTGTTGATGAGTCAGATATGTGTGCAAAAAAAGAAAAAAAAGAGATGTCTAATTATGTCCCCAGAAATGGAATTTCTGCCCAGTTTAATTACTAACTGGATTACAGTTCTTCAAAAATTATCTTGAGTAGGAAAACGAGAATTTTGTCATCCTTTTCTGTGGCCTCAAACTGTGATTCCTGAGTGGGTCTAGATATTTCATCCTTGTTTTTATCTAACTACTGCTCTTTAAACAGAAACAAAGGCATTGTTCTGTTTCTAATACAAACTCTCATTCAGTGGCCTCCCTCAAAAGCCCGTGGATATACACAACACGCAAAACAATTGTCTACGGATGATAATGAAGTGGCTAGGCAAAGCATTTAATCCCTGAGACTGGATATAGTGAAAGGTGGGCTAATCCTGAACTATTGTGATCCCTCACTTTGTACTGGACAGATGCCAGTATCCACCATGCCATCTGAAGGCGACAATTCATTAATTCAAAGAGTTCTATTACACAACTATGTTCTCCCTCACCATTCAGCTAATTTAAGGGATTTATAGGGAATTGTCACCCATGTCAATAGGAAACATCCAACTGTAATTAAAAGGCATGATTCAACAAGTGACTAAGCACAAGTCAGCCAAATGAGTTACCCACAGAGCAATAAACAACACGACAGTCAACAAACAAACCCCTTGCAGATGGTTTAACTGCTGCAACAGAAAAATGGCAAATCAACCTATAGTTTCTCACTTGGGCTTTGAAGCTAAATGTTCCTCACTTCAACTCTGACCTTAACACTAATTTCTAAGAATCATAAACCATTAGCTTGTTGATCTAAGACAAACAAGCAAATAAAACCCAACTAGTATCAGAAGCAATGCCTGGGGAATCCCGTTCTAGACGTAATTTCTAGAAAGCGTGTCCAACTGTGAAACTACCAGCCAGGGGAGGGGAGATGAAATGGGACGGCGCTCAGAGAGAAGCAATTCCACCTGGGGACGGGAGATGAAAAATCTCCAGGGAGGGATCGGTGTGCCTCCTCTCCCGCTGGATGCCCAACGTCTACGACCGCACAGAGCACGCAGAAATGTGCTCAAGTCACACCAGGTCAAAGAGTAAGTGAATACAGGTAAGAGAAGGGAGACAGCCAAGTCTGGAGCATCCCGGGCCCGAGGACAGGGGAGCCGAGGAGAGGCTGGGGCCGAGGAAGACTCCAGGCCCCGGGGGAGCACCGGGCGGTCACCTGCGACGTCCGGCGGCGGCAACCCAGGGTGGTAGTGCTGCCACAGCCCCTGCAGGAAGGCGGCGCCGCTGTCCACGCAGCGGTGCTTGGAGCTGGTGAGGAGACGGAGGCGGCCGTAGTTCTCCCGGCTGAAGAGGGCCGGGAACAGCGATGCCAGGCGTAGCGCCAGCTGTCGCATGTCCTGCCGTCCCTTTTCCACCAGCTGCCCGTCCATCCAGTCGGCGTACCCCAGGGGCCAATCGGCCAGCGCGGCGCCCAGGTCGCGACCGCCCGCACTGCCGCGGCCGCGGGCCTGCAGCAGCCAGTGCAGCTGCCTCAGCTTGCGTATCTGTTTAGCCGTGGGGTAGCGGGTGCCATGGCGGATGAGGGCGACCAGCTGCACCGGGGTGCAGGTGCCCTCCAGCAGCTCCGGGTCCCGCCGCGGCGCCTCGGGGTCCAAAACCAGCCCGGGGTTGACATCCTCGTAGCGAGTCTTGGTGCCGAAGTAGGGGCTCAATACCGAGGCCACTGGGTCGCTGGGCCCCAGGAGAGAGCAGCGCGCGAGAGACGAGAGCAACGCCGCAGCCAGGGCCACGGCAGGTGCTACGGCGGCCCCGAGGCGGCGGCCGGAGGCGCGGAGCATGGTGCGGTGCGGCCCGCGGAGGGCTACGCGCCGGCAGCTGACGCTCAACTTCCGGCTCCGGCCGGCAAGGGGGAGGGCCCTGCGGCCGCTTCCGGCTTGTGCCAGCTTGTGATGGGCTGCGCTTCGCCCTCCTGGTGGTGGCTGGCAGAGGGAGGTGGGTGCTGGCGGAACAGGTGCTGTGGCTCAGGTGGAGCCGGCGAAAAACCCCGAGGCGGCTGTGGCTGAGGTGGAGCCGGCGCCGGCTGACGGGAAGCGTGGGCAAGCTTCCTATTAGCTGACGCCTCCGGGACAGACTCGAAGGTTTCCCTCGCGTTAGTAGTTTGCTGAGATGTCACCGAAGCCCAGTCCACGCCTTAGCCTCCCAGGTCGCCAAACGGAACGTCTTTTAGCAGAGGAGTCTAGTATCACCATCCGTACCTGCTTCTAGTGGGGATTTACATAGCCCCTGAAGCACGGGGAGCAAATCCACCTGAGGTGCTTGCTGACTTGCAGAGCGCTCAGCCTTGCTGCGGGATGCCTCTGGAAGCCCAACTTAGTTCACCCGCTCCAGTTTGAAACTCCGCCGAGAATTTGGCCTACTTCCCCAGAAACTTGAGTCCCGAACTTTTGGCATTACCTTGACCCTGACTGGCAGAGCTGACACAAACAACAAACAGGGAGACAGCACCCAAGAAGTTCAGCGCTTGCTGATCCCCAAGGCCTGGAAAGTGGAGACGTAGTAATCCTGATAACTTGGGCCCACTCAGTCATGGCTCCACAGGTTCCCTCCATTATCCAGCATGAGCTCGACTGCGGTGTGAAGCAGACCTTCACCTTATTGGCCACCCCTGCAGGCCCTCACTCTCTTCCCGTGTAGCTATATACTGAAATCACCTCAGGACTTCTTTTTCTGTTAATCCACTGTCCTAACGTTTTGCTAGACTCTTCAAAGGACTTCTAAAATAGTCATTCCACTCTTAAAATTCCATGAGGTTTTATATAGTGTTTTAGTTTATAACCATCCACTGTACTTTTAAAGGCGTTGTTGGAGTTGTTTTTCTGATGGAGAAATAACGAAGAAAGAGGGAAAGGCTGTATTCTGTGGGGGAACACTAGGTTCTCCATGTAAATATAATGTTAAGAACATTGATTCTGAAGTTAGACTTTATGGTCTTAAAAATTTCAGCTTCGTCACTTAATAAACTTTTGCTTTTTTTCTACCTATAAAGTGGGAATAATAACACCTGTGCTATGGAATTGTTGAGGGGATTTAATGAGATGGTGTACATTAAGTCTTTCATCCTTTGCCCTAAATTGTCAGTTTTTCATAGATACCTGTTATCTCACAACTACAGTAAGCAACTAATTTTATGTCTGTGCCAAGAAAGTTTTAACTCTGCTATCTTACTTCCCTGCTGTTGGCCTCATTCCTCTGTTAACATTTGTCAGTTGTTGATTTAGAGCTTATTTGCATTCTGTTGCAGGAGAAGAAGCCAACAGAAGATAGGTCTGTGTATGTGGGTGAATGATCCATGCTTCAACAGCTTGAACTCTTCAGCCTTGCTTGAAGGGGGAGGCCACATGGATCACAAGCTCTGAATATTGTAAGATACCTTTGTGCAAAAGGAATCACACCATCACTGACAGTTATCCCCAACTTTGTTCTCCAGCATAGCAAAACTAAGTCGAATTGCATAAAACTGTGCTTCAATTGATGTAGAAAACTTTGCTGAACCACATATAACCATGGAGTTTCAGTTTCAGTTGTTATGCCTTACAAGAGGAGTTATTTTGCAGTGACAAAGCTTCACTTCTGATGTCCTGACACATCGTAGGACTTTGAGGTTGGTAATTCTTTTCATCAAGTTTTGGTTACAAATCATCCACAGACTAAGGAACTAGTTCTAAAATTTTATAGTTTTAAATTATTTATATTCTTTGCTACTCTCATTTAATAGAGGGAAATCATGAATATATACACTTTCTAGTCCTGTTCCATATAGTGATTTTCCTGGACAAATTATCACTATTGCTTAGCAACATAATTTCCTCCAGAAATTAATCCAAATATATTGTTATTAATTAATTTGTTATTAATTAATCCAAAATATATTGTTGTCCCATCACAAAGATAAATAATGAATTTCCAAATCCTAGTAAAACTAAATCTCTTCTCCCTTTTATTTCTGAAAAACAGGCATAGATGATCACAGTTGTATTTTAGCATCTTGTTTTCTTCTGGAATGTTTTCCAAAATTGAAAACTCTCTTTGAATCATTGGGTCTTTCTGACAAGTGGTTAGCTGACTTTAAAGCCATTAATGTCTCCTTATTCAAAAAAATAGAGAATTTTCAGAACAATAGTTCTGGGTTTTTGTTGTTGTTGTTCTTTATGAGGAAGGCAGTTTTTTACTAGTCATTCAATGTCATTTTCACGTTGCCTCAATAGTCCATGCATGAGCAAATAATCTCAGTTTTTGTTTGGTTTTGTTTCTTGCTTGGATTGAGTTGTTTTGTCTATATTAACATATCACTGAGTAGTAAAATGCAAACATTATTTAATCCCAAAAAGCAATGTAGATACCTGTGGATTCATATGCTTGGTTGCAATCACTTGGTAAACTGGACAGTTCACACTTGAGCGGTAGCAACCATGATAGCTCCACAAGTAACATTCTTTATTATTTCACCTTACCCTTCCTGTCTTACTTCCCGTACTGCCTTGTCTGATTATATACTCCAAGAGATAAGGCAGACTCTGCTAAATAATCCATTAGTTAATACATTAAGTGCAGGGACTGTAATGAAAATGTTCATCCCATATCTTACATTAAATTTACTGTCAGCAATTATTTGTAAAAGATTTTATGACCTACTTGTTAAATGGGTGTGTGAATAAATGAAATTAGAAGCACATAGTGTGGGAAGCTAAAGTAAGGAAATAATATTATTTTGCATTTATGCAGTATAATTATCTCATTTTATTTTCCCAGCTATCCCATGACACTGTAAAACAATATTAATATCATGTTGTGGGTGTGAAAATTGAGTCAGAGTTTAGATGCTTTGCCTAATGTCATCCAATAAGTCTTTAGCAATACCAGTTCTAGATTGTGGTCTGTGGAAACAGAGCTATCCCGTGTTTCTTTTCTTGATACCTACTATATTACTGACAAATTAACACTGACTTAAACTTGAAAAAATTCATAGAAACAGACTCCTAAGACATACTCAAGAAGGAAGAGAAGGGGCCAGCACTGTGATGTAGTGGGTAAAGCCGCTGCCTGCAGTGCCAGCATCCCATATGGGCACCGAGTCCCAGCTGCTCCACTTCTGATCCAGCTCTCTGCTGTGGCCTGGGAAAGCAGTAGAAGATGGCCCAAGTCTCTGGGCCCCTGCACCCACATGGGAGACCCAGAAGAGGCTCCTGTCTTCAGATTGGCGCAGCTCCAGCCATTACGCCCATGTGGGGAGTGACCAGCGGATGGAAGACCTGTCTCTCTCTCTCTTTCTCTGCGCCTCTTCCTCTGCCTCTCTGTAACTCTGCCTTTTAAATAAATAAATAAATCTTAAAAAAAAAAAAGAAGAAAGAGAAAATCTGAATAGAACTATAACAAGTAAGGAGATTCAGTTAGCAACCAGACACCTCCAAATAAAGCCCAGGACCAGATAACTGCACTGTTGAATTTTCCCAGACATTTAAAAAACCTTAACACTAATCCTTCTCAAACTCTTCCTGTAAATAGAAAAAAAGGATGGAATACTTTCTAACTCATCTGTGATAATAAAACCAAAGACATGAAAATTTTTCACAAGTATCCCTTATGACTATAGATATAAAAATACTCATCAAAGGACTACTAAATCAAATTCAGAGTGTATTAAAAGTATTATATATCATGATCAGTGGGATTTATCCTAGAATTTCCAAGAGTGGCTCAACATGAAATTCAGTACACTACACTATGTTGATGGAATGAAGGAGAGAAAAACACAGGATCATCTCTATCAATGTATAAAAACAACAAAAAGACTTTTTAAATTGGCAGAGTATTTAACTAGACATTTCTCTGAAAAGATGAAAATGACCAAGAAACATATGAAGACATGTTAATTAGAACCACAGTGAGATACTACTTCATACTTACTAGGTTGGCTATCATAAAAAAGAAGAAAATAACTAGTGTTAAAAAAATGTGAAGAAATCAGGGCCCTAGTACATTGCTGGTATGAATGTAAAATGGTGCAATCACTGAGGAAAATAGTATGACAATTCTTCAAAAAGTTAAAGTTAGAATTACCTTATGACCAAGCAGTTCCATCACTAGATGTGTATCCCAAAGAATTGAAAATGATACCTTAAACATGTACACATCAGTGTTTATCGCAATCTTTTTCACAATAGCCAAAATGTAGAAAAACCCATGTATCCATTAAAAGGTAAATGGATAAACAAAATGTGGTATTTACATGCAGAGGACTATTAAAGCCATACAAAAGAATGAAGTACTCATACATGTTACATCATGGATGGATGTTGAAGATAGTATGCTAAAGGAGTAAGCCAGACACAAAAGGAGAAATACTATATGATACTATACATGAGATATTTAGAATAGCCAAATTCATAGAGATAACAAGTAGGGATTATTGGGCTGGGAGAGAGGAAATGGGAGTTACTCCTTAGTACAGAGTTTGTAGTATGGAAGTGTTTTGGAAATAGTGATGATGATTTTACATCATCGTGAATACAATTAGTGCCATGTTATATTTAGAAATTTGCAAATTGTTTATTATACAGATTGAGTATCCAAAATGGGACCAGAAGTGCTTCAGATTCTAGACTTTTAGGGATTTGGGAATTTGCATGTGAATGAGATATGTTAAGGATAAGACCCAAGTCCAAACATGAAATCCAATTATGTCTCATATACACCTTATACAGAAAGTAATTTTATACAGTGAATTTGTTACAATTGTGTTTTTGACTGCAACCCATCACATGAGGTCAGGTGTGAAATTTTCCACTTGGAATTTCCCATGCCACAAATGTCATCATGTTGGTGCTCAGACAGTTTCAAACTTCGGAGCATTTTGGAATTAGATTTTTTAATTCTAGATGTTCAACCTGTATATATTTTATCACACATACACACAAACAGAAAAAAAGAGTTGATATTGCAAGTTGATGAGTATATTGTTAGAACTATGAAATAACTCACCTGTAGGATTAATGTTAAAATTCTTTGCCCCTCAGTTTAGCCTGTTTAACCCAAGATACATATTTGTATGAAACTATAATAAACAATTCTAAAACATGGATAAATAAAACAGAAAAGCAATATGGTAAATAAGAAATGTTATTTTTGTCATCTCGTGGCACTTAAGGAAAAGCAAGTTTCACTAATGGAAAATGAAAAAATGAATTATTTTTTATTCTGTGAAAATCTCAGGTCTATCTGCCAGCGCCGCGGCTCACTAGGCTAATCCTCTGCCTAGCGGCGCCGGCACACCGGGTTCTAGTCCCGGTCGGGGCGCCGGATTCTGTCCCGGTTGCCCCTCTTCCAGGCCAGCCCTCTGCTGTGGCCAGGGAGTGCAGTGGAGGATGGCCCAGGTGCTTGGGCCCTGCACCCCATGGGAGACCAGGAGAAGCACCTGGCTCCTGGCTCCTGCCATCGGATCAGTGCGGTGCGCCGGCCGCAGCGCGGCGGCCATTGGAGGGTGAACCAATGGCAAAGGGAGACCTTTCTCTCTGTCTCTCTCTCTCACTGTCCACTCTGCCTGTCAAAAAAAAAAAAAAAAATCTCAGGTCTATCTCTAGAAGGTTTGGTAGGCTAAATGGTGGCCCTAGTGTTTTCCACATCCAAATCCCTCAGATCCGTGAACGTTATATGGCAAAAGGAACAGCACACATATGATTAAATTAAAGGTCTTGGGATAAGAGAGTTATCCTGGATTATCTGTTTGACCCAGTGTAATCACAGGGTCCTTATGAAATCAATAATGTGAGACTAAAACAGAGGGCACAGTCAAAGTGATGTCCTGGCTAGACCCAAGGAATGTGGACAGCCTTTGGAAGCTGGAGGAGGCAAGGAAATGGATTATTCTACTCTTCCAGTAGGAAAGAAGCCCTGCTGACCCATTTTTAAAAAATGTATATTTAGGGGCCAGTGCTGTGGCGCAGCGGGTTAATGCCCTGACCTGCAGTGCTGGCATCCCATATGGGCGCCAGTTCGAGACCCGACTGCTCCACTTCCAATCCAGCTCTCTGCTATGGCCTGGGAAAGTAGTAGAAGATAGACAAGTCCTTGGGCACCTGCACCCTCTTGGGAGATCCAGAGGAAGCTCTTGGCTCCTGGCTCCTGGCTTCCCATCTGTGCAGCCAACTGGGGAGTGAACCAGTGAATGGAAGACGATCTCTCTCTCTCTCTCTCTCTCTCTCACTCTGCCTCTCCTTCTCTCTCTGTATAACTCTGACTTTCAAATAAATCTTTAAAAATGTATATTTATTTATTTCTTCTACTTAAAAGGCAGAGCAAGAGAGAAATAGAGGAAGAAAGATCTTTTATCCATTAGTTCACTTCCCAAATGCCCATAACAGCCAAGGTTAAGCCAGAATGAAGCTAAGAACTATGAGCTTCATCTGAGTCTCCCATATGGATAGCAAGGGCCCAATCACTTGGGCCATCATCTGCCACCCAGAATGCATTAGCAGGAAACTGAAATGTAAGCAGAGGAGCGAGGACTTGAACCAGGCATATGGGATGCTGGCATCCCAAGCAACAGATTGACCCACTTCACTACAATGCCTATCTCCACTGACCTATTTTAAACTTCTAGTCTCTAGACCTATGAGATAACAAATCTGTGTTATTTTAAGCCATTACATTTGTCATAATTTTTTATAGCCTCAATACAAAACACAATGACTAATTTTGCTTCTAAACTCAATTTCTTCCTTAAAAAGTTTATCCCAGTAATTGTTTTTATATTAATCCATCATATTTATGAATGATATAACCCTGATTATGAATGATGTAGACAATGCACCCATTTATGGTACACTCCACAGTATACAAAGCATTGTACTAAAGGATTTGACTATTTTTGAAATACTTAAGACCTTTTCAGGTAGATACCATTTTCCACTTTTACAGATTGGAAAATAGGATCTCTGTGGTTAAATAATTTACTTACGGTCATACTGTAGTGGTATAAAATTCATGTGCTAAAATAGAATAAACAAGTCAGGAGTCAAGTTATTTTCCATGACACGCTAGGGTAGTTGTTGCCAGAGAGTGAAGGTTTGATTAAATGTATAGAAATGTTGATTTGGGTAATTCCCTATGTTGATTGGTTCCATATAGCTTGACCATAGTTCAGATGGGAGTTTAGGAAAACAGTAGACAACAGTCATTTCTATATTGTATGTTTCAGAGTCAAATGTTCTTAACAGTTGTTCTTAAAAGAAGATTCCACTTTCTTAAAATTCCTAAGAAAAATATTCTCTGCATTAAAGGCTTGTTCAAGGACTGGCATTGTGGCATAACGGGTTAAACTGCCACGGGCAATTTGGCATCCCATATGGGTGCTGGTTCTAGTCCTGGCTGCTCTGCTTCCCTGCTAATGCACCTGGGAAGGCAGCAGAGGATGGTCCAAGGTCGTGGGCATCTGCACACATGTGGGAGACCTGGGGAAAGCACCTGGATCCTGGATTCAGCATGTCCTTTGTGGACATTTGGGGAATGAACTAATGGATGGAAGATTCTCTCTCTCTTTGCCTGAAATAAATCTTTTTAAAAACTTGTTTATAAAATTAACATTGCTACAAGTATTGTTGAAGTTTTCTAATTGTTATTATCTGTATAAGTGTAATATTTAATGTCATACATGTATATATATAATACATATATACATATAAGTATGCACACAAATCTTGCAAACAAAGCAGATCTAGAAGAAATTCTTTGAAGAGGCACTGGTTATCCCTGGTCTACTTGTATTTATCTTCTCTGTTTTACTTTAGAATACAATAAAATATTTTTTAAGAAATTAAAAAATCTTAGAGAATTAATAAAAATATTTGATGATTTGAAGTATAGATGAGAGGTGGCTGTTTAAAAATACATATATACTAGTTATGGACTCACAGAAGGAGAAATCAAAAGACAAATCCAATTCACAATAGCTACTAAAAAAAATCAAGTATTTAGGAATAAATTTAGCCAAAGAAGTGAAAGGCCTCTACAGTGAAAACTATCAAGCATTGATGAAAGAAATCATCAAAGACAAAAAAATTTTGAGAGATATTCCTTGCACATGAATTAGAAGAATAAATATCATTAAAATGTCTATACTACATAAAGCAATTGACAGATTCAATGCAATCCTTATAAAAATACCAATGACATTCTTTACAGAACTAAAAAAACCAATCCTAAATTTCATATGGAATCACAAAAGACTCAGAATAGCCAAATTGATTTTGAACAGGAAAAATCAACCTGGAGGCATCACAATACCTGACTTCTAAGCATACTACAAAGCTATAGTAATTAAAACAGCATGGTACTGACATAAAAACCAATGAAAAAGAATAGAGAACCCAGGAATTAATCCACATATGTACAGCCAACTAATTTTTGACAAAAGTGCTCAGACCATATAGTGGAGTAAGGATAGTCTCTTCAACAAATGGTGCTGGCAAAACTCGATTTTATAGAGAAGAATGAAATTAGATCCAACCTCTTACCATATACAAAAATAAACTCGAGATGGATCAAAGATCAAAATTTAAGAACTGAGACTATGAAGTTGATGGAAGAAAATGTAGAGGAAACACTCCAAGACACTGGTGTAGAGGATGACTTCTTGGACAAGACCCCTAAAGCACAGGCAACAGAAGCAAAACTAAATAAATTGGACTATATCAAACTCAGAAGTTTTTGCAAAGCAAGGGGAATCATCAATAGAATGAAGAAACACCCAAAAGAATGGGAAAAAATATTTGTAAACCACCTGAAAAACAATGTCCTGAATATATCAGCAACTTTAAAAAATCAGCAATCCAATTAACAAATGGGTAGAGGAACTGAACTGACAGTTTTCAAGAGAAGGAATTCAAATGGCCAATAGCCACATGAAAAAATGCTCAGGATCACTAGCCATCAGGGAAATGCAAATCAAAACCACAATGAGGTTTCACCTCACACCCATTAGAATGGCTCACATACAGAAGTCAACAAACAGTAAATGCTGGTAAGGATGTAGGGAGGAGGGTACCTTAATGCATTGTTGGTGAGAATGTAAACTGGCACAGCCACTGTGGAATACAGTATGGAGATACCTCACAAAGCTGAATATTGAACTACCATATGACCCAGGCATCCCACACCTGGGAATTTATACAAAGGAAATGAAATCAGCATATGAGAGTGATCTGTATCCTCATGTTCATTTCAGCTCAATTTACAATAGCGAAGATAAGGAATCAATCCAGATGTCCATCACTTGAAGACTGGATAAAGAAATTATGGTATAGATACTCTATGGAATACTACACAGCAGTAAAGAAAAACAATGAAATCCTATCATTTGCAACAAAACAGATGCAACTGGAAACCATTATACTTAGTGAAATAAGCCAGTCACAAAATGATAAATACCATATGGTCTCACTGATCTGTAGTAACTGAGTACTCAAAATGTAATCTAGAGGAGCAAAACTGACACTTAGAGGTGCAATGATTTTGAACAGCTCGTGCCTTGACTGTTGGGAAACAATGTTTTTCTTGTTTGTTTTTTTATATCTTTTTTTTTCTTTTAATCAGTGAACTCTCTTCGTGGTGTACGGTTAATCTTAATCTTATGAGTATAGGGGCCAGCGCCGTGGTGTAGTGGGTAAAGCTGCTGCCTGAAGTTCCAGCATCCCATATGGGCACTGGTTCTAGTCCCAGCTGCTTCACTTCTGATATAGCTCTGTGCTATGGCCTGGGAAGGCAATAGAAGATGGCCAGAGACCTTGGATCCCTGCACCCGTGTGGGAGACCTGGAAGAGGCTTTTGGCTCCTGGCTTTGGAATCAGCTCAGCTGCAGCTGTTGCACCCAATTGGGGAATGAACAGCAGATGGAAGACCTCTTTTTCTGTGCCTCTCCTCTCTCTGTGTAACTCTGACTTTTAAATAAATAAATAAATCTTTAAAAAAAATCTTATGAGTATAAAAGTTAACTGAAAATTGATCTGTAAAAAAATAAGAATGGGAAAGAGGGAGGAGGAAGATAAGTGGGAGTATGGGTGGGAGGGAGGTATGAGGGGAAGAAGCATCATGTTCCCAAATCTATATATATTAAATGCATGAAGTTGTATTCCTTAAACTAAATAAATTTTAAAAAATTTAGAAACAACAACAACAAAACCCAATCCAGTTGAAAAATGGGGAAAGCGCTTTAAAATACAGTTCTTAAAAGAAATACTAATGACCAACAAATATATAAAAAAAAAATGCTCAAACATCACTAGCCATCAGGGAAATGCAAATCAAAACCACAGTGAGATATCACCCCACAGTTGTCAGAACGGCTAAAATCCAAAACATGGAGAGTAACAAATACTGGCAAGAATGTGGACAGTGGGGGACCACTTTTACACTGTTGGTGGGAATGTAAGTTAGTGCAGCCACTGTGGAAAACTGTATGGAGATTTCTTTAAAAACTACAAATACACTTGCCATATGACCCAGCAATCCTACTAATGAGTATACACCCAAAGACTTGAACACAGTGTATCAAAGAGATACCATCATGTTCATAGCAGTATTGTTCACCATAGCCAAAATTTGGAATCAACCAAAGTATCCATCATCAGATGAATTGATAAAATGTTGTACATAAACATAATGGAATATTACTGATATAAAAAAGAATAAAATCCTGCCATTTGCAGCAAAATGGATGTAACTTGAAGACATCACGTTGAATAAAATAAGCCAGACCTAGAAAGACAAATACCACTTTTTCTCCATTATATGTGGGAGCTAAAATTTTTTTAAAAGGGAAAAAGAAATGTCTTTGTATTATCAGTATTGCTGCAAATAGAGTTTTGTTAGACTTTGTTTTATACCTTTGTGACACCAGTGGTTAAGTATGTTATACTACTATGGTTTGAATGATCCCTGATTACTTAAAAAATTTATTGTATATGAGTAAAATGGTCATTTTTCCATTAAATTATTGTTTATAGTCATTATCTATATTCCCATTAAACTAAGGTCCTTTTGCTTTATACTAGTTAAACTTTTTATTTTAAAAAAGTTAAACTTTTTTACTGTAATGTAAGTTTAAAATATGTTATCTCAAAAACTAAAGAAAGGGACAAGAAAGGAGGGAAAATATGTTATCTCAAAAACTAAAGAAAGGGACAAGAAAGGAGGGTGAAAGGGAGAGGGGAGGGAGGGAGTCAGCAAGGACGGGAATATAATTGTGTTCTTAGGATTGTCTCTACAAAGCACATGGAATCTGTTAAAAACTAAAAACTAAAAAAAATAAGTAATCAAATGCCTAATGCCATTCTTGGTACACAGTACATGCTCAAAATGTGAATTACTTGCCCCTCTCTTTTCCAGTATGAATAGATAAGACTATAAAACAAAGTCTATACTCCAACAGCTATTTTCCTTTCAAATGTTTTGATTCAATAATATAATAAAATATATAAAAGTTAAGCATACATAAAGATCTTTCTTGATTATTTTTTTAAAATATTTATTTATTTATGTGAAAGGCAGAGTTACAGAGAGGCAGAGGCAGAGAGGTCTTCCATCTGCTGGTTCACTCTCCAGTTGGCCACAACAGCTGGAGCTGGGCCAATCTGAAGCTAGGAGCCAGGAGCCTCTTCCAGGTCTCCCATGTGGATGCAGAGGTCCAAGGACTTGGGACATCTTCTACTGTTTTCCCAGGCCACAGCAGAGAGCTGGATCGGAAGTGCAGCAGCTGGGACTCAAACCGGTGCCCATGTAGGATGCTGGCACTTCAGGCAGTGGTTTTACCCATTATGCCACAGTGTCAGCTGCATCGTACTTCTCAATGTTTGGCTGCCGTGAAATTTCTGCCCTCACACCCAAATACCCATGATAAGATATCTGTTCTTAACATGAACAATAACTGGAGCACTTAGGATTAAACAAGATGATAGATGCCACAGAATAAAGGAGGTGAGGAAAGTATAAAGCGATAAGGTGCTAGCCAGCTCAGGGTAGCTATTTTAGATAGTGTAATACAGCAGAGTAGAAGAACCTTGTTAGAAAGGAAAGGTGCCAGGCAATAGATAAGGAGGAGCCTGTGTTAGCCAACATCATGAACTGAAAACACTAATTTGAGTTTTTATCCTTACCAGAGAAATACATCCTTATGAGAAATTAAACACAGACATGTACTAAATCATTTTGCTTATTGATTCATTTGTTTTTCATTTATTCTATGGCCATTTACTGAGTGGCTACCTTGTAGTTTTTAGACTTCAGAATGATCTCAAGGCAAACTTGTGAGGTAGGGTGTTCATTTTAGTCATTTCACCTTGTTCTGCTATACTAGGCTCTTTTGTGAGGCTTCAGGCTTCCCATTCCTTCCTCAGGCTTTTGAACTTAGAAAATAACAACATCAAGGCTTCAGTGACAAAGGGTGACATGGCTGTTTCAGATAAACAATTGTTGTGTTCAGAGGAAGAGGGAGAGAGTATGTTCAGGAAAGAATGGCACCAAGCTGTTGTTTACTACCTGTAAATAGATGAAATTATGTTCTCTCTCTCTCTCTCTCTCTCTCTCTCCCCTCTCTTTCTCTGTC